GATTGGTAGAAACATTTCTGATTTGACTGAAATTGGAGATTCTGCCTATAGTGTGCAGTTTAAGTTTTATATCTGCTGATCTCCTTGGCTATGGCTGTTATTTGCTGGTTTTTTATTTCCAGTGCTTCTTTGGTCTTCCTTGTTCTAGATAATATTTCTTGATCAGGTATTTTTGGTCTTCTTGTTCTTCAGCTTCTTTTCTTTCATTTGTTCTAGCTTGTTTGCATCTGGTCAGCTTATTTTCCAACCTGATCTTCTATTTTGATAGTGCACTGTTTGGCTTTTTTTCTTGTTTGTTGATTTTTCATCCAAGGTATTCAGTTATAACTGCAGCCATGATGTACATTAGTTGGTTTGTTTCTTGCAGTGACCTGGTGCTTATATTTGATGTTACAGTATTGGTATCTTTTAATACTTGTGCTAGCTGTTTCTTTATAACAAGTTTCAGTGCAGGCAACCTTATTCTGTTCTTTTTTGTGCTGTTCTAGATGCTCAGCTATTCTTTGTTTCAATTCTTCTTGTTTTTTTAGTTAGAGGGCTTTGTTCTTTCTGAGGACAAGGTAGAGGAGAGGATCCCTGGTTTGGGAATGAAAACAGTTCAATAGCTATGCTGGTTTCCTCTACTGCCAGCTCCCCCTGGTTTGCCTCTACAGTCTGAGCTACTTCTGGCAAAGCTTTGGTTTCTTTGCCTTGGGTAGACCTTTGTAGTTCTTCCAATTATACATTATTTTGTATTATACATTGATGTTGATCTGCTAGCCTCTGTTCTGTTATTTCTGATTCTGGATGTTATTCTTTCCAGAACTGGTACATTCTTTTCAGATATCCTCTTCTCATTGGATTTGATTTGTAATAGCAGATCATTATTTCTTTATTTTCAATCTTTGTATATTTGCAACAAGTAAACAACTTTTCTTCCAGTAGTCCTGCAGCTTCTGCCCCAGTTGCTCAGCCAATAGTCCTGAGTCCTGTAGGCCACTTGTCACCAGATGTCCAGGAACTAAAACTGCTAGCACGATCCTTTTGACCCAGGTGATGACTGATCTGATATACATTTCTGTAAATTATGTCTCACCATATTGTTTTTGAGAGAGACAATCTTCGTCTGGCTCCTCTGATGAGACCTGTCCAGTATGATTGAACTGCTGGCATAGCTCTCATCCTCCTTGGAGCACTCAAGCCCCACAACCATGTCAAGGTAGTGCCTGACTGGGGGTTATTATTATTATTACTATTGTTGGTCGCACAAGCAGCCAGATGTTTAGACTGGATTTGGCATTTTTATCCAGCTATCAAGTCCTTCCCAAGGACCTGGGATAGGCAGAAGTTGTTGTTTGATGTGTTAAAGATATCATCGCAGGATATAAGCTGTTCCGAGTAAAGCTGCCTTTTGTAATTGACTGATGGTGATTTTGTCAATGCTGATGGTGTTCAAGGGTGGTGGTGGTGGTGATGGTATTATTATTATTATTATTATTATTATTATTATTATTATTATTGCTGCTGCTTTTGCCCCTTTAGTGGGGATCCCAACCCACAGTTTGTAAACTAACTCTTGGATTAGGAAATTATACACAATCTTTTCTTATCAAACAATTATCTTTTTATATATTACCTTTATTCCTTTTTTGTTTATATGGATTTGTAATTTTGATTGGAAAAGGAATGAGAGTTCTTAGAGGAAGAACTTAACATTCTCATGAAGTGACTAGTAAGGCTTTTTCCAACTACTAGAAGAGAGATGAAAAATGATCTGCTCCTGGTAGTTCAGTTTGCTATAGTTTAACAAATAGAGACATTATAAATCTTCACAGCTTTACAGAAACTATAACAGAAATGTTTTCCAAATCTCTCTTCTTCGTGGATTTATGTCTGAGGACTTTTCAGATATAAATAATTCTTTCTTTGTGAAAGAAAACAAAACAAAGTAGAAAAAATGTACATGGGTAGAAATCTAAAACCAAAGCTTTTTCTAAGTATGTGTGTGTGGCACATACAGTATGTCTACACAGGAAACATTTTAGTTGTAGCTATAACCAGTGTTGGGGCCACAATTATAACTCCAAGTAGATAATTTATGAAATCATTACAGGAATGTATTTCATGTATCTAAATATGGAAGAATAATAGTGACTATGACATGGAGAGAAAATCTGCTGATTGTATTTCTTTTGGCATTTTCCTGTTTGAAAAAAAACCCTTCTGGAATCTTCTGTGCTATCATCAGCAAATCTGGCCACCTCACTGTTCACCTCAAGTTCATTTATAAACATCTTTTCCTTTAGAGAACTATTTATTCCTGCTCTTTGCCTCCTAGATAAATAGTATACTTAGAGAATACATACTTATATAATAAGTATACTATAAGTATATACACTAATACATACTTAATTCTACTTACAGAATACTTATATAATACATACTTCCTTCAGAACTACAAGATCTACTCAGGAGCCTTTTATAAGAATTTGCTAAGCGCTTTTTGAAAAGTTCAAACAAACAGTCACTAAAGGATGTCTACTATTCACATATTTCTCTCCTTCTAAAAGAACTCAAAGAATTAGTGAAATGGAATCTCTGTTAATAGAGCATATCAGAAACCATGCTCACTATTCTTCAGCAATACTTGTCCTTCCATGTATGTGATATAGAATTTTAAATTTAGTAGGTCCAACAAATGCTCACATCTTTCATTAACCTTGGGTACCACAGAGGATTAAATCCAGAGTCACTTCTTTGTTTGGTTTCATGATAAATTATTCCAAAGCACAGTCTGTTAAAGTATCTCTATATATTATTTCTTTGTCATGACCAGAACATGCTTTTATTCAGTCTGTGTGAGGCAACTTAAAATCACCCTTGACAACAACATTTCCTCTTTTCCACAGCCTCTCTAGTTTCATTCTTCATTTCAAAACCATCTTGAGAATTTGAGTTAGCAGGACAATATCACTAAATATTTCCAGCACTGAATTATTTTGGTACCTGCTACTGTTATTTGTACCAGTTCTGGAAAGGAGTGTCATTTGGGGCTTTTTAGTCTAGCCCAGAGGCAAATGAGAGGGAATATGATTGAGATGTACAAAATTATGCATGGTGTGGATAAAGTGGACAAGGTAAAGCTATTTTCCCCTTCCCAAAATTCTAGGACCAGAGGTCGCTTAATGAAATTGAGTCCTGGAAGAATCAAGACAGACAAAAGGAAGTATTTTTTACATGAAGTAATTGAACTTTGGAATTTGCTACCATGAAATGTGTTGCTGGCTACCAACTTGGCTGGCTTCGAAAAAAGTGTTGGACCAATTCATGGAAGTCCTGGGGATCAATGGCTGTTAGCTTTGAAGATAGTGTGACTGTCTCTGAAGTCCATCTATAGGGAAACTAGTGGACTTCTCTGTGCTCTCGTTGGCCACTGTGAGAACAGACTGCTGGACTGGATGGGTCAGGGGTCTGACCCAACAGGGCATTGTTGTGGATTCAATCTGAGGAAGGTGCACAGCACTGAGGAGAAGAACCATGTTTAATGCAAGGATCATTGGGTGCCTGCTTTACAAGAAAGAGTGACCCTGAACAATGGAAAAGCAAAGATTTTGATAGGAGTTGAGGGCTACAAGGTGA